ATACTACTTAGTAATAAAAAGGAACAAACTATAGAAGCAGGTTATAATTCGGATGAGTCTCCTGGGGAATTATCCTATGTGAGAAGAACCCATTCTAAAAGACTATATTATATACGACTACATCGATGGAACATTTTTGAATTGGCCACATTTTAAGAATGGAGGGTAGATTAGTTGCCAGGTGTTGGTGGTGGGACAAAAGGATATGAGGATGAGGAGGGTGTGCTGTTGGTGTGTTCAGTAGCTTGTGGTGGTGAATTCTTGAACCCACACAGATATTAAAAATGTATAGAACTTCATACACTTACACAGAAGTCCAAGTAAGACGGGGAAAATCTGAATGTCATTGGATTGTATTGATGTCAATATCCTGGTTGTGATATTGCACTATAGTTTTGTAAAATGTTACCATGGGGGAAACTGGAGACAGTGCACAAGGGATCTCTCTGTGTTATTTCTTATAACTGCATGTGAATCTACAATGCTGTCAATAAACATTTTAATCAAAAAAGACCCTACTGGGGTTCCTAGATGGCTCAGTCAGTTAAGCATCCAACTCTTGATTTCGGCTCAGGTTGTGATCTCAGGGTTGAACCATCTCAGAGATGGGACCCCATGTGGGCTCTTTGCTGAGTGTGGCATCTGCTTAAGATTCTCTCTCTCCCTCTACCTTTGCCCCTTCCCCTGCTCATGCATGTGCACTCTCTCTCAAATAAACAAAACAAAAAGATCCTATCAAAGATAATAAGCTCTATCAATGATAAAAATATAGTAAGACTTGCATATTGGTAATTTTTAAAAAAGATTTATTTTCTAAATTTTATTAAATAAACTTTTATAATAAATAAATTATATTAAATAAATAAATTTTATTAAATATATTTTACAATAAAAATTTTTTATTTTATTAAAATTTTTAAAATTTATTTGACAGAGAATACAAGTAGGCAGAGAGGCAGGCAGAGAGAGAGGGGGAAGCAGGCTCCCTGCCGAGCAGAAAGCCCAATGCGGGGCTTGATCCCAAGACCCCAAGATCATGACCTGAGCTGAAGGCAGAGGCTTAACCCACTGAGCCACCCAGGCGCCCTGGATATTGGTAATATTAAGCTCAGTATATAATTAAAGGCTACCCGGCATAGAAGGATAGATAAATGTGTTAGCTAATCACAATTTTGTATATCTGATTGTTTTAAAAACTTAATGTTTGGGTGAAAAGCAAACGAGGCTCAGATCCTGGATCTAGGAAAGATCTTAAAGGCTGGTCTGTTTGAGCCACTGGCCATAGGTACTAGCTCATGCATAGCAGTGTACTCCCAAGAGGTGCTTGGTGTAGCCACCAGGGCATCTCTGCACAATATTCCTGATTTCCCTAGGGTAATAGCACTAGTAGGTTTGGAGGAAAGACTAGCATATGCATTTTACATGTACTAATAAGAATTACCATTCACCAAGGGTCTGCTTGGTGAGAGGCACTATTATCTCCATTGTATGGATGAGCAAACTGAGGCTTGGCAACTTTAATACACTTGCTCTGCCACCAGTTGGTAATATGGTGGGGCCAGAGTGTGAGTGTATGTGGGCCATAGCCACCCTCTTTTCAGGATGCATACCCACTGCCTTCCAAAGAGGTTTCTGCTGTGTTGGCTCCTGAACATACACATATGGGATACTCCCAGTGTGATTTGCTTGATCATTTCCTTCAGACTGAGAGTTCTTAATCTAGGGGCTATGGTTCTTTACAGGATCCACGAATTGGTTTTAGGAGATCGTGAGTCCACTGAAATTGGATGTAAATTTGGTGCCTATTTGCACATATGAATTCTTCTGGGCAAAGGACCCAGATGATGGTTGTTTCCATCAGATTCCCTGAAGAGGTTTGGGACTCAAAAGACGGGTTGAGAAGCACTGCAGTGAGATCCAAAGAGAGATTTTTACCCTCCCCGAAAGTGTTTCAAATGCCCAATAACACTGACAAAGGTGAGTGATACATCTGTGGGAGAAATAAAATAAGCTACCAAATCCTAAACAGAAAGCGGGGTCAAATTGTTCTTTCGTAAAGTCATTGCAAAGAGGATACTTGAAGATACCAAATTTCATCTGTCTCAGCAGAGTTGTTAAACACTTCCCATCTACTTGTTCTAGATATCTTTAGAAAATAGCATTTTTGATAAATTTGATAAACGATGAAAGGATATCAAAGTACCTTGAGCTCAGGATAAGGGCTAGTCCACAGGCTTAGCACAAAATTGTGGCTGATGAATTTTATGTGGGCCAATTCCTTTTATCATCTTTATCAACTTTATAAGAAGATTTATTTATGAGAGAGAGCGAGAGAGAGAGAGCGCATGTGCGTATGTGTACGCATGGGGCAGCAGGTGGAAGGTGGGGGGAGAGTGGGGTGGTGGGTAGAGGGAGGGAGAGAGAACGAATCTCAAGCAGACTCCTGGCTGAGTACAGAGCCTGTGTAGGGCTTGATTCCAGGACCATGAGATCAGGGTCTGGGCTGAAATCAAGAGTCAGATGCTTAACCCACAGACCCACGTGGGTGCCCCTCATTTTTTTTCCCAACTTTTTGTTAGAGTCAGGTGTGCATATAGAAGATCCAGCAGCTACAATGTTACTGCTCTTGAACTGAAATCTGTGGTGGAAAATACATTCATTCTCATGCCTCTGCACAAGTCCTTCCCTCTGCCTACAATGCCCTTGTCCAGAGAACTTGAACACTGCATTTAAGTCCTGGTTGAAGGTCTTCTATGACTCTTCTGTGATCTTCCCATTTTTTTCCTCTCAGGCAGAATGGTCTTGTCATTTATGTTTAACCCTCAGTACACACCAAAGTCACTGTGTCCTCGTCAGTGGTCCTGTGTCTGTTTCATCTGGGCCACTAAGCCTCTGAAATGCTGTACCTGTGCCTTATTTATTTTGTATTCCTTGTCCCTAGCCACAGATGAATAAAACATTAGCTTCCATTTAGGAAGGCCCTCCTAGTGCAGCTGCGTTGAAAGACACCGTTCACCGTTAGGTGTTATCTAGTTAAATGACAGCAACAATTACTTGTTAATGAGTAAATGAAATGCCTTTTGGTGACCTTCAGAAATGACCTCCTGACTCAGGTGGAGGAAACAATCAGGAAAAGGAAGGCCCAGACATCTAGGCAGGTAAGAAAACAATGAGGTTAAGAAGTGAAAGGATTTTAGATCAGGAACAGCTAGGGATCAGAACAGGGGCCAGCACTCAGCTAAGCAGAGAGAGAGGGTTAGCCTGGTTGAGAGAGAAGGGACTTCTAGAATATGAGAATGAAGAGAAGGGGCAGATACTGGGTGAACTGAAAGTAGAATGGGGATCACTTGGGAGCAGGGATTAGCGACTCTAAACGAATTTTTTCAGACCCCAGGGACTCACTCTTAGCGACAATCACCTACAGAGAGTAACCAGATTCTGGGTCTGCTGCTGTTTCTTAAACATAACTTGCATTCTTGAATATTTCACTAGAATTACTGAAAGTCTGAGCTGCAAGGGGCCATAGAAATAATCTGGGCGTGTCTTTTTTTTTTTTTAATGATTTAATTATTTATTTGAGAGAAAGAGAGAGCAGGGAGGAGCAGAGGCAGAGAGAGAGAATCTCAAGCAGGTTCCATGCCCAGGGATGTGAGGCTTGATCTCAAAACCCCAAGATCGTGACCTGAGCTGAAATCAAGAGTCAGCCACCCGAGTGATTGAGCCACCCAGGCGCATGTCTTTTATTTGACTGACCTTGAGGCTCAAGAGGCAGCTTTGAATCCAGCCCGGGAGTCACGGGGCTTACTGGGTTCAGCCTGAGGCAGGGAAGCATGTCTAGGCAGAGGGCACTATTCTGAAGACTGTGACCCCAGAAATGGTCCCTGACTGCAGGGGGTGGCTGCAATGGCTCCGAGCCTGGTTTTCTTAAGATACAAACCAAATAAAGGCTTTCAGAGAATTAGGTTGTTGGTCAAAAACAACTTTGGTAAACAAGCCCAGCTTTTCCTCTTTATTAACATAGTATTTCCTCTCCATTACAGGTTAACAAAGAGAGGAGTTTGTTTGCTGGAGAAAGCCTAACGAGCCTTTAGTTCTACCCTGCAACTCTGGGAAGAGGGGAAATGTTAACTTTTAGTTCAACTGTGCAAGTCTGGGAGGGGTAAATGTAAGAAGGCCATAAAGCTGCCTTTTTTGTTGGTTTGAATTGTATGCAGATTGGATAATAACAAACATCTACCTCTCTCTCTGTACCATCTTGTTTACCTTGTCCATTTATGGCACTTCCAGCCATTCTGGAAACTCTGTCACGGGTCAATAGACCGCACTAGTTGCACAGAACAAACCTAGGGGACTTTGTGTCTTGGAGATGTCTCCATTGAAATTGCATTCTCGAAAAGCCATTTACTTAAAAAAAAAAAAAGTGCTGCATGACTATTTGTGCAAGGTGTTTGGTGTGTAGTAACAGGCCACTGGTTCACCTAATCCTCTTTTCAATAGCTATCAGGGACCCCAGAGGCTTGAGAGAGACCTGGAAAATCAATTCCGCCTGCATCTGCAGACCCGTTCCCCTGGAGAATGTGGAGAAGACCGAAGGCGACGGTTCGCGGGCCCAAACGGGGCCTCCACCCTCGCTTCCCCTTCCGCCGGCCTCCAGGGCGTGCTCCGCTCCCAAGCCCGGATCTCCTTCGACAGGGTCGAGGCGGGAGGACGCGGGAAGCCACGACCACAGGTTCCAGACCCCGCGCGCCCCGAGCCGGGCCCGCAACGTAGCCCCGCGGCGCGCCCCGCCCCGCCGTGTCCGCGGCCGCGCGCACGCACGCAGGCGCGGGGGTGCACGGCTCGGGTACGCGCAGGGCCGGGCAGGCACGGCGGCGGGAGCGCGCGCGGCTCCGGGAGGCGGCGGCGGCGGCGGCGGCGGCGGCGGCGGAAGCAGCGAGGGCGGCGGGCGTCCGGCTCTGAGGAGGTGGTGGTGGTAGTGGTGGTGGCGGCGGCGGAGGCGGCGGCTCGGGACTGGGCTCGGCTGGGAGCGGGAGAGGGTCGGGGGCGCCGGGTCGAGGGCCGATTCCCCGGCTCGATCATCCTCCTGCCGCCCGGACGCCTGGGCCGCGGAGTTTGTGTCCCGGCTCGGACCCCGGCGCCCAGCCCGGAGCCGTAACCTTGAGGCGGCGGCGGCGGGGCCGGGCCGGGCCGGGCCGGGGGGCGGCGGCGCTGGATCCGCGGCTGCCCGATCGTTGGCGGGAGATGTCGAACCCCGGGACGCGCAGGAACGGCTCCAGCATCAAGATCCGTCTGACAGGTACGGCCGGCGGGAGGCCCACCCGCCTCTCCCCCAGCCCCCCGCACGGCTCGGCGCCCGCTGGCGCCCCGCACGGCCCCCCAGCAGCCCCGGAATTTCCCGCAGAGCGCCCCGATAGAGTGGCCCTCCCCCACGCCGGCCGTTGTCCCAGGACCTCGTCACCCCCCTCGGCGAGTGCCCCTCGCTCCTGGCTCCCGACCCCGCCCCCTCGCTGTTCCCGGCCCCGCCCCCTCGCTTCTCACCCCCCCCGCCCCCCCCCCCCACGGCCCTCTGGCTTCCCTCCTTCTCCTCCCACCTGCCCCGTCGCGTCCCCCCTCCTAGCCCCCTTCCCGTTTCCCCCCTCCCCCCTGTCCTGGTCGCTCCCCTTCCTCTCCCCGCCTTGTACCCTCGTTTCTCCCCTCGTGGCCCCGCCCCCCGCTGCTCAGCCCCCTTCCTCCCCCTCGCTTTCTTCCCTCTTCCCTCACCTGCCTCCTTGCTTTCCCTCCTGGCCCCGCCCCTTGCCCTCGGTCCCGCCCCTCGCTTCTCACCACCTTCGCATCCTCTCTCGCCTCCCGGTCTCTCCTCCGCCGTGCCCCCGCGCTTCTCCCTCCAGTCCCCCGCTTCTTATCCCCTCCCCCATACTCTCGCCCTTCCTCTCTCTACCTACTCCCCAACTTGCCCCCTGGCTTCTCCCCTCCCGGCCCCGCCCCTTTATTCTCCCTTGGCCGGGCTCCCTCACTTTCCCTCTAGGCCCCGCCCCTCATTTTCCACTTAGTCCCGCCCTCGCTTATCTCGCGGCCCCGCCCCCCTGCTTCTGTCTCGCTGCCTCCACCCTTTCCTTCAGCCTCGAATTCCTCAGTCCTGTCGTGTCGCTGCTCCCGGTCCTGTTCTCCTCACTTCCCCCCTGGTCCAGACCTCTTCAGTCTAGTCCACTTCCTTTCTGCCTCAGGCCAGGCCACTATCTGCTCCCGATCCTGCTTCTTCAGTTCTTTTCTGCATTGCACTTTACTAGCCCCGCCCCTCTCCCCGCAACCTCCTTGAGCCCTGAGTAGGGCTGAGGGTCCCCCCGCCCCCCACTGGAGGCTTTGGCAGCAGCACGAACGCAGACTCCTTGATTCGCTCTCACCGAGTCTTCAGTGAAGTGCCCGTGTCTGCTAGGAGGCTCGGTAGTGCCACCTTCAAGGGGGGGGTGCGGAGCTCTGCTGAGGGCCGGCGGCGCGGGGTTTGGGGAGTGTGGTCGCCAGCTGCCTGGTGGAGGCGCCCCTCGCTAGCCGCCCGGGAGATCTGCCCCTTCGCGGGCTGCTCGGGGCTGCGGTGCTGCGGCCTCCCTCCCAGGTGAAACCCTACCTGAGGCCCGGTCGTGCGCTCCTGCCCGGGGACTTGCCGACCTCCAGTATTTCCAGCTTGGGAGAGGAAATGAAAAGTTGAGGCCAATTCCTGTCAGGAGGCTTTCCCTTGGATTTCTCTGTTCCGTGGCCAGTCTGGTCAGAGTCCCGTCAGATCCTTTCCAAGAGCGAATGAGCATTTTGGACACTTGATGGCAGATGCGTGGCCCTAATTCGTCGGTAAAAATCCAGTAAAACAGCAATGGGTGATTGGTTTCAAACTAAAGTTTCCTTTGAAAGTACGTAGTTGTTGCATGATTTATTTTTTTCAAAGGGGTTTTATATATATGGATAGATATAGATATATGTAGAGTTATGTATATGGGGTTTTTTGGTTTTGTTTTGTTTGGTATAAAGATGTCAGGTTAGGTTACAATAAGATAATGTGATCAGATAATGATTTGGACCCAAATCCAGAGCCTGGTTTTGTCAAGTAAACGCCATGTATCCTAGGGATCTTTGCTTCTGGAGGAACATAATCCTTTATTCCAGGGCTAGTAGGAAACAGCTTCTCACCATGTAGATACAGTGTATAACATTGTTATTTTTATGGTTACATGAAAGCCCTGTTTTTGACTTTGTAATCCTTGTAAAACTTTAATTACTGGCAACTTTAATTTGATTTCCATTTACAGTGCAATCTGTAATTGACATCAGATTGGTTTCATTTTTCTTGTTAAAAGCAGGAGTAACTGATTTCATGAGTTCTGGTAGAAATGTGACTAATGTTTCAGAAGGAATAGGTTCTAATTACAATGTTTGTGTCAGGTGTGTATATGTTCGTCAAACCTGTGTGGGCCTATCCCTGGTGAAAGGGAAGGCTTGGTTTGTCCTCCCAAATAATTTTTTGGGTTCAGAGATTTAGATGCTGAAGATACAGAAATGTTTTGAAGAGTTTGGCATGGCATTTGCTATTGAAGGGTCAGGTGATGAGGATTATTTCCAAAGCCCCCTTTCCCTTCACCCCTGTTGGTGTTATTGAGGGTCTGGGGTGATCTGTGAGTGTGGTCCTCCCTGCAACAGAATTGAGTTTAGCGGTGATTGCAGACCCATATGACCCACGTGTGTTGTCTGTTGAATGTTAATTGACATGCTGTTATGTTAATTAGGATGCTGGAATCCTATTTCGTTGTAGATAGAATAGGTTTTGGCCTCATTTTTAAGGTTGTCAGGAGTTTGAAATCTCTCCACTTCTGGCATGTTGGGGTAGCCATCTTTCAAAAGTCGAGTACTCTTGCTACAGGTTTCAGAGTTTATTACTGTGTGTCATATTTGGAAAAAAAAATTGTTTTTAAACCGAGGGATATTCTAACGAGTGATATCACACAAGGCATGATTCAAGGCAACGTGTGAAGACATTGGAGTATAAAAGAGTCTTTAGAACTTTGGGGTCTACAGTTTTATTTGGTGATGAGTAGAGGACTGGATTTAAAATGAAGGAATGTGATTTTGATCAGACCTACCATAAACTGCATGATATGGAACAAATTATGTAACCTTGCTGGGTCTCAGTTTCCTCATAAAAAACGAGATTTCAACTTTATTATAACATTCTTTGATTCTCTTTCTCATTTTGGCTACCTACTTATTCCAAATTACGTTGGGTACTTACGCTTTCTGTTACTCTCAATGCTGATTTTCAGAAATTTGCGTTAAAACACAGCACTTGGGTGCCTGGGTGGCTCAGTGGGTTAAGTCTCTGCCTTCCGTTCAGGTCACGGTCTCAGGGTCCTGGGATCCAGGCCCACAGTGGGCTCTCTGCTGGGCGGGCAGCCTGCTTCCCTATCTCTCTCTGCCTGCTTCTCTGCCTACTTGTGATTTCTCTGTCAAATAAATAAATAAAAATAAAATAAAACACAGCACTTGTGTTTGATTTAGGTGAAGCATTCATTTTGTGTATTGATTAGGATATATTTTTTTCTTCCTGTGGAACCCTTTCTGTTTTTGCAAACTATTGGGTGGTATATGGAACTGCTTTGGAAGCCTGGCCTATGCGGTAAAATGAATATTTGACTCTTTATATTTAAAAGAAGTTAACTGTGATGAATGTCTTTGTGGTATTAACAGGAAAATAGTTTTTAAATAGTTTCAGTAGGTTTGGGGCATAATATGTGCAAAATCAAGTTATCTTAACATTATCTTGCAGACATTTTGAGTTCACTAGCAAATCAAACACTTTGGAAACATTATTATTTTAAATTCAAGCAGGATTTGCAAAATCTTTCTTCTTATGTGGTACGCAAATGAATCCCAGATATGTTATTTAGGCCACTTTGGGTAAAAGAGTGGAATTTTGAGCTTTAAGGGTTCCGCAGTGCTCTTCAGGCAAATTTCATTTTATTCTAATGTTAACCAGTTAGTTGAAATGGCAAATGCCTATAAACTTTTTTTTTTTTTTTTTTTTTTTGCGTTTTTATGCCTTGAGATTCTCTCAAATCTCCTTGTGTTTTTATAGCTTTTGGAGCGTGACTGTGTATTGTGAAAAGAAAAATTCTAATTCCAAGTAGAGGGGGGAGGAGACCTTCCTTGATAGCATGTGGAAACAGAGGCTATTTTTAAAGTTGTAGCACACGGAAAGTAAGGGAGACTTGGGGTTCGGCCATCCAGATGAGGTTACTTGGAGAGAAAAAGTTGTATTAATAGCTGTCAATAACTCTGATTTATCAGTAACAGTTGGCCTAATTGATTTGGACTAGTTCGGCTTCTCTGAAAGGTTAAGAAAGCTGTTAAGAGTGTTGCCTTTGTCAGGTTATGCCAGCAGGGAACTGGCTTATGTAAGGCAGGAAGAACTTTGGGTTTTAAAAACCATAACCAGGATAGGATGGAATAAGTCATTTGGTGTTTAGCCATGAGCTGCTCCTGAGTTTCTAGGACATTTTCCTCAGGGTCAGCCTCAAGTTTCTGAAGGTATAGTCACGGCACTTCTCTGAGCTGAATTAGCCAAGGGTGTGGGATGGGCTACATCAAGTAACTATGGCAAAACCTCAATTTACTCTAAAAGAAATCACATTCTGCCAAATATAGGTTGTATTACTGATTTTACTTGTGATTTGATCACATTAAGGTTGTTTTTTCCGCCTCAAATCCATTTCTTTTTAAAGCTTCTTGACCCACCTAACTGACCTGAGCAATGAAATAAATAACTTTATACACTTTATTTTTATCTGTATCTTTATAGCAGTTGTAGTGAAAGCCAACTAGAATTTTTGCCTACAAGTCTAACTATTTGAGGTCAAAACTCCGGGTTTTGCAACCATGAAAGTGGTGTCTGAACTTTGAGTTATTCCTTCTCTTCTACAAATTTTCATTTTCTCTGTTTGGTCACATTGTCAGGTCCTAGTGTGGAACGCTGGGTGTCAGGAGGCTCTGGGACTGAGTCACTCGGGAAGAAATCTTTCCTCATGAATAAAAAAAGAAAGATTGACCCATAATATTTCAACATCAGCTCAATGATCCACTTAACTAGACTGGCTGTTTTGTAACATGTTTGTGGGCACTGGTTAAAAGTTAAAATAGCTGAATTGTGCATTTTTATTGAGTGCCAAGAGCAAAAGGGAAGTTCAGGAACCTTCCAAAATAGATGAAATAATTTAGTATCTTGGCAGGCTCTGATATTCTGGTTGAGAAACCCTAACTTTTAGAATTCTTATTTGGATCACATTTTTGTAATTTCAAAACCGTTTTAGAGGTGAAATATTTTTAAGCAGAGAATTAAAACAATGTGGCCATTTATTTATTTATTTTTGTCCCTGAACAACTTAAGTGACTGGTTCACTTGTTGTTCTGTAAGTGAATTTTAGTGAGAGCCAGCCTCTAATTTAAATTGGCTTGTTGTCCTCTGCACGATCCTTCTAGCTGACCACAGTCCCTAAGGCATGCTACTTAGAGATGAGCTGGAGAGCTCTGTTGAAAAACAAAACAAAAGCACCTAGCCATGTGGGCCAGGCATATTTTCTTTTCAAAATGTTAGAATTACTGTTGTGTCTACAGATGTAATTTCATCCATTTGGATATTTAAACTAAGTGGAATGTAACGGTTTCCATACTTCTGGATTAAAGGAAAAAAAAAACCTTTTATTGTTTTAAAACAAGGCGTAAATAACATACAATCAATGCATCTGGCGCTGCCCCCACCTGATTCCAGCTGTGTCCACCTCCCTCGCAGCTGAAAGGGATTCTAATTGGCTGAGGAAGGTCGGCAACATTGTGTATCACTGAGCATGAACCTATTATACTGGCTGCTGGGTGATGCCATTTCAGATGTTTTAAGCTCCTGAGTCCAACTTGGAGGTTGCTTTCAGGAGTCTGGAAGAGAACCTTGTGAAGCTGCGGGTTGTAGATGGTAGCCTGCTTTTTTCTTTGTATGTTGGACAGTCGCTAAATTCTCTAAAGGCCGTGGTGCTTTCTTGTGCCTTAAACCCTGGGTTGGGAGTCAGAAGGTCTGAATTTGATTTCTAGCTCACAAAAGTGCCACAGTGGGGAAAGGAGGTGGGTGGAATTATGATTTTTTAGAGACTTGGTTTGCCTGGGATGCGAGATACCTGCCTTTTCGTGTCGCACAGGGACTAGATGTGCATTAAATATTTTAATGAATAGTTATGAATTATTTGTAGAGTAGCCGAGTGTAAATACAGAGTCATAGGTTCCTGTTATTTCTAGTTCCTAAATAATTATGTAAATGCTAAAGCTAATGGTATATTTGACACTGAAGAAAATCTATAAAACCTATTGATGGACATGAAAAAGGTACTCAAGAGCAAACTGTTAAATTCTTTGTGCATTCAGAAAGTTCCTTAGAGAAATAGTGGCCAAAGCCAGCATCATCTTTAATTGTGAATCTTTGGAAGCATTCCCATTAAAGTCAGGAACAATACAGGGATGTACACTGTCAAAATTGTTATTAATTAGAAAAAGCCATCAGAAAGCAAAATTGCTATTATTTGCAAGTGATATGGTTTTGTAGCTTTAGAAATCTGAAAGAGTCAGCTGATACATAATTGTAAATAATTAAACTTTAGTTGGATAGGAAATTTCTCCATGGAAAAAGAAAATGGATGAAA